GGCGGGGGGCAGTCTGCTGAGGGGCGGCTCTGCTCCTCCCCTCGACCTGAGTGCCCCCCCCTCGGGCCTCTCCCTCCCCACCACGCAGGCCCTTCTTCACCTACTGGGTCACCTTTGTCCACTCGCTCATCACCATCCTGGCTGTGTCCATCTACGGCATCGCCCCTGTGGGCTTCTCCCAGCACGAGACGGTGGATTCGGTGAGTGGGAGGAACAGGGGCATTGCCTGGGACCTGGGCCCCCTCCCTCCCTCCCTCCCTTGGCTCAGGCATGGCGCCACAGCCGCTGCAGCTCGCCTGCCTCTCAGGCCAGGTTCCTGGGCTTTTCCGGAGATGCTGACAGGCCGGAAGAAGGCGAAGCTTCCCCCCCCATGCAACTCCTTGGGGGTCTTGAGCCCCCTTCCCCAACTCCTCTGGCCTCGCTACCCCCCTCCCTGCACCCCCCACCCTTCTGTGCTTGTATAAAAGGTGGTCCCCTCTCCTCCGATCCGCAGCGGATGGGCAGCCCCGGGTCTCCTGCTCCCTTCGCTTGGTGGGCAGACCGGGATGTGCCATCCCCCCTGGGCACCGCTCCCTCGCCGTTGCTCCCTGGAGAGAAAGAAAGAAAGGGTGCCCTTTTTCGCCCTGCAGGTCTTGAGAAACCGTGGGGTTTACGAGAACGTGAAGTATGTCCAGCAGGAGAACTTCTGGGTCGGTCCCAGCTCGGTGAGTGCCCGATTGTGCTCAGCGATGGAGGCTGGCTCAAGGGCAGGAGGGAGCCCAGGCTGGGGTTCCCCCCCACACACACACACCTGAGAGTTCCTGCCCTGCCACCTTGGGGGTGTGTGTGCGATTTGCCGAGACTCGGCTGTCGCCACGGGACAGTTGTTGCTTGTGGGAGATCTGAAGGGGCTGCTTCCCCTTCCCCAGGAAGCGCTCATCCACCTGGGCGCCAAGTTTTCACCTTGCATGCGGCAGGACCAGCAGGTGCACAGTTTCATCGTGGCCGCCCGGGAGAAAGAGAAGCTCTCGGCCTGCTGCGTGCGCAACGACAAGTCTGGCTGCGTGCAGACGGCTGCGGAAGAGTGCTCCGTAAGTCCTTGGGGCCCGGCTCCTTGGGCGCGGGGAAGGGCCAAGCCTCTCACCTTGCCCCCCCCTTGCCTCTTGGGGAGGTGGTCTCCCCTGATCCCCATCATCTGGGGTGCAGGCGGCAGATACGGGGGGGTCCCCTTTCTCCGCCACTGCCTCCTCTCTCACGCCCGCTCCCTCCTCTGCAGTCCACCTTGGCCGTGTGGGTGAAGTGGCCGGAGCACCCCAGCGCCCCCCTGCTGGCAGGAGACAAGCGGCGGTTCGGGTCCGTCTGCCACCAAGACCCCAGGTAGGGGACCCGCACTTCCAAGAGGGTGGGGGACAGCGGGTGGCTTGGCTGACCATCCTCCTGTCTTCCTCCCCCTGCTTCCACCACGGCCTTGGACCCCTCCCTGCTTTCATGGGGGGGGACGCAGAGCTATTTGCTTTGCAAGGGCCTTGAGCCCTCTCCCCACTCCACTCCTCCAGAGCGTGCTAATTCTTTCCCCCACAGAGTGTGTGAGCAGCCGGCTTCCATGGACCCTCATGAATGGCCGGATGACATCACCAAGTGGCCGGTGAGCTCACTGACTCTGCCAGGTGGTGTAGGTGCCACTTTGGGATGGGGGGGGACGACTAGGCTCACCCCTCAAGGAATATCAGAAGCCCCTCCTCCTCCTCCTCTCAGCCCCAGGTCTTCTCTGTATGGCCTCCTGGGTCGTCCCCTGATGAGTTGTTGGAGGGGGGGGTGCCTCTCCCCTAAGCTGTGGCAGGCCCCCTCCCCTTCTCAGGCCAGTGGGAGGTTCAGGACAGGGTCAGGGCCACTCTCTCAGCCCTGGCCGGCCCACCACCCTTCTAGCCCCCCCCTCAGATGTTCTCCCCTCCCCCCCCCCGTCTTCCTCTTCTCAGATCTGCACCAAAAACAGTGCTGGGAACTACACCAACCATCTCCACATGGACTGTGTGATCACAGGGAGGCCCTGCTGCATCGGCACCAAGGGAAGGTAGGGGAGGCCGTGGGGCAGGGCTGAAGTGTGCTCTGAGCTAGAGGGCCCATGCCCAGCCAGGCAGCGCCAAGACACCTTTCAGCTGGCTGTCAGAGCCACACCCCCCCCCCCCACACTGCTGCCCGCGGGCCCTC